TGGTAAGTGCAATTTTTTAAATATGAAGGTTACTACTAAATAATAGGCTTCGGAGCCTCCCTCTAATTCCTTCATTTTTCTCATGAATAATTTTAATCTTATTATTTTCCTCTCACCATTTTCTTTTGTTGGCAGGAAATGTTTCTTTTATTTGTTTTCCCGAACCAATCGTAGTTCTTATTTTATTCAAGATGCCGGTCTTTATTTTGACCCAGGAACTAAACAAAGCAAGAAGGAACACAAGAAGTCATTTTCAAAATTTTTCTCAGTGTCTAAATTCTTGAACATAAAAAGCCACTTTTTTACTTTTTTTTTAAAGATTTTATTTATTTATCTTTAGAGGGTAAGGGAAGGAGAGAGGGAGAGAAATATCAATGTATGGTTGCCTCTCTCAAGTCTGCTGCTGGGAACTGGCCTGCAGCCCAGGCATATGCCCTGACTGGGAATTGAACTGCGGTTGTTTGGTTTGCAGGCCTGTGCTGAAACCACTGAGCTACACCAGCCAGGGCCCCACTTTTTTAGTTTTGCTAAAAATATTATTTAATCTTGGGATCTGCTCTCTAGAAAAGGGTTGTCCAACTTTGGCAGTTGATCACATTTGTCCCATTGCCTACTTTTGTACAACCTATATGATAGGAATTTTTTAAAATTTTTAAATGGTTGGAAAAAATTAAAAGAAGAAAAATATTTTGACATGTGGAAATTACATGTGATTCAAATTTCGACGTGTGTATAAAGTTTTATTGGAACTCAGCCACATTCATTCATTTACACATTGCCTATGGCTGCTTCCGTGCTCTATCAGCAGAACTGAGTGGTTTTGAGAGGCCAGATGCAAAGAGTAAGTAACACCAAGTAAGTAAGTAAGTAAGTAAGTAACATACTTACTTGGTGTCTTAGAGTAGTATTTTTCTATCCTCTGCTCTAGAGAATCTGATTCAGAAGCTCTCAGGTAGGAACTGGGAATTTATTACAACATGTTTCTTGGATGATTATGTATGGTACAGGGGTACTCTGGACCACACATTTAAAAATAATGCAATAGAAGACTTGTGAACAACCCTTCTTTTCTTCTCACTCATCATAACTGCTACATCAACAAGTTCTATTGGATTTATCTTTAAACAGTATCTAAAATATGATTATTTGTAAACCATGGTCATTGTTATCAGTCTAGTCCAAGCCATCACCATTTCTTATCTGGATCCTTGTATTGGCTTCCTGTCTAGTCTCTCTGCTTCTATCCTTGCTCAATACTGACCATTCTCAGAAATGAGGGAGAGCCAGAGTGATTGTGTTAAAACCTTAGTCAGATTATGGAACTCCTTTCCTCAAAGTCCTCTGGTGGTCTTTCTACCCTCCACCCCTTCCTCATGGTTCTAGCTATACTGGCCTCCTAACTGTTCCTCAGAAACTCTAGGGGTGTTCCATCCTCGATGCTTATGTAGGCTGTTCTCCCTGATTGCCATAATCTTCCCTCCGAAAATCTACATGGCTTTCAGCTTTGCCTCTTTCAGGCATTTTTATAGTCACATGACACCTTCTATAACCACCTTATTTGAAGTTCTAACTGGAATTGCCTACCTCCCTTACGCCATCTGTAACATATGGCACCTATTAAACAATTTCTGTATTCAGAAACAATTGCCATGAGTATACATGTAAGACCCCTTGCTGAATATTTTCAACACTATACCATTATGTGGTATTTTCACTGTATAGGTAAAGTACACATAACCTCAAAAACACTGATAGTTTTTAAAATATAAATTAATTAAGATGTGATGCTTTAGTATGTAGTACCTTTATGTGATGTAATTCCTTTAATTATAAATCTAAGAAAATTAATTTTTAATAATGGCTATGTTTTTAACAACCAGTTCACAAAATTGCTGAAAATGTATCAGTGGGCTCTGGTAAGTCAGCATGAGCCAGCTTTAACACACCACCATCCCAATTCTTCCTTCCCCACCAAGACACCACCACCCTCACCTGAGCCAGACAGTGTTTTTCCCAGCTGGGTCTAGTAGGAGGGCCTGAAAATGTCTGGGAACATTTTGGAGATGAGCATCTATCCCACATCCACTCCTCTGACTCCTACCAGAGGCCCTGAGAAGCAAAACAAAACAAAATGCAACGAAAAATCCCATGAAGTTGGCAAGTTTCTAGCCTCATATGAAGACAAACAATAATATAACATTTGTTAGTGCTTCCTAGTTGTCAAGCAGTTGTGTAGTAACTTTATATTGATAACCTGAAAACTGGTCATGGCATTAGTGTTTATATCACAGAAATTAGCAAAGGCTACTGTTCAGAGCTTGGCTTATTTTATTTTTTGCTACTTAAACTTAAAGTGATGGAGAAAATATTAATAATGATTCTTAAACTTACAAGGGTGTTGTATCAAAGCTGTTACATTGTGAATAGCACAAAAAAAAAGAAAAAAATTCTTCTAGAATTATAAGGAGCAAGTAATTTGTTACTGTAACAAAATAACCAATATTCATGCCAGAACTGTACTCATTTGGCAATTGCAACCTTAGGATGGCTATCTGTAAAAGAGTTTGGCAAGAAATCAATAAAACCTTTCTTTGGTTTAAAAATCCTATTATTTTATGTTGAGATAATCTAATTATTCTAATTCTCTCATCTATTTTTTTCTGCTTAACTATGTACTATCTTAAATCAGTTTATTGACAAGGGACAGTGAGACTAATAACTGTCAAGATGACAGATTAAACTTTCAAACTATGGACTTATAATAGTTTTACATGAATAAAAGATGTTAATAGAAGGTAATATCTCTGTAACGCTGTACATTTTACAAAGCACTTGCAGGTCTATTATTTCATTTAATATTTCTTCAACTCTATGATTTAGTTATTACTATCAAAACTCATTCACTAATAAGGTAATGGAATTCAGAGATTCCTCAAGACACATAGCCAGTAAGTCTTAGAACAAGAAACCATACCTAAGGCTGCAGATTCTGTTTTCTATACTACAGTATAGCTATTTCATTTGCCCTCAACCCCTTTCTCCCCTCCAAAAAAGCAACACTGTGAGGGAGAAATACTGTTGTTATCCCTTTTTACAAATAAAGTCACAAAGATAGCCACTGATACTACTGGGGATAAAATCTGGGCATACTGCCTAAAAACCCTGTGTTCTTTCATCTATAATAGATATGCTGGAGTGTGCAGCTTCATTGCTGCTTGTGATGTAAGGAAGACCAAAATATTGAAGGGCAGCAATTGGGGGAAGTGGATGATGAGGAGAGGGAATGAAATTGATTGGAGCAGGGAACCCGGGCTGTCTTTCTCTCCTCCGGCCACTGACTACCCTCACCCTGCCCCCAGCCCTCAGCCCTTCGCCCAAGTTAACACTGGGAAGAGATGTTGACCGGTGAAAATAAACTCAGGTTGTTCAGGGAATTAATATGATGGGTGGAGAAATTCTATTCCTTTCTGCTTTGACATCTCTTTTTTTGTAAACTTTACCAATTAGTCTGTGAGCTCCTCAGAGGTCACAAAACTGTGTATTTTGTCTTTCTATTTCACACATATAAAAATAACTAGCAGCTGGTGAGACAATAAAATTCCTCTCTGTAAAATATAAAGCATTTTACATTTCATTACTCATTTCATCTTTCTCCTAATAGGCACATAGACATTGTATAAAATAGGCAGTATCATACCTCCCCCCTCTTTTTTTTTTTTTTTTAAAGATTTTATTTATTTATCTTTAGAGGGGAAGGGAAGGAGAGAGGGAGAGAAACATCAATGTATGGTTGCCTTTCATGCATCCCCTGCTGGGAACTGGCCTGCAGGGAACCGGCCTGCAACCTGGGTATGTGCCCTGACTGGGAACCGAACCGCGATTGTCTGGTTCGCGCTCAATCCACTGAGCTACACCAGCCAGGGCTCCCCCTCTTTTTTTAAAGATGGAAATGACACACATAAATGTTAGATAACTTTCTTAAGGTTATAGAGTTGGTATTTAGCAGAAAATAGGAGAAGGAAGGAAGGAGGGAAGGTAAGGAAGGAAAGAAAGGGAGGGAGAAAGGAAGAGAGGGGAGAAGAGAAAGAAAGCAGAAACGAAGGAGAGAAAAGAGAGTGAGGGAAGGAGAAAGGAAGGAGGAAAGAAGGAAGGATGATATGAAGAGAAAAGGGGGGGAAGGGAAAGGAGGGAGGAAGGCATAGGCTAACGAGCACTTGGGCAAGAGTCTCAGAGAATGACTGGTTTCTTTACCTTTTGACTATTACAAGCTACTAGGGTTTTTTACCCACCGCCCCACCCCACCACCCAAGGTACACAAGACCATATTGGAGAAGAATGAAGTGTCTTGCCTGAACACAAACAGAATTCCTTTTTGCAATGTAGCTTTCTTTACTTGAATATGAATACAATACTGTGTTAAAGGCAAATCTGTGTATATGTTAATCAGAAGCTTTAGATAGTGCAGCTTGGACTTGAGACCTGTTGCCTTTTCTTCAATTTAACATTTATAGGTAACCTTTTTCTCCTCCGTGGCCGTCAGAACTCCATGAGGTTTGGGCTCTATTTTATGGGCACCCTGCCACGGCCAGAGTGGTGGGTCTGCAGCCAGATATTCATGTTAGAGCACAACCAACTTCCTTCTCTTTGTGCAGCAAGTCTCTTAACTTCACTGTGAATTCAGTTTTTCACCTTACAGGACCTACATCATAGAGTTGTTATGAGGGTAAACTAAAAATGCAAAGGAAAGCACTTTGTAAATGAAAAAACACTTTACAAATTTAAAGTATTATCTCCCAGCTCATGAAAATATTTACTTTGTAGCGAAAAAGTTTACATTTCTTACTTTCTTGACTCTTCTTATTTTTATCCCAATTTGTTCTCAAAAAGGATATACGCATGAGAGTGTCCTATAGACGGTATTTGAAAGCAAATAGTTTTCTTCCTGGCTATTTCCAATACATGTTTCTGATGGATCCCTCTTATTTTTCCTTTACTTATAGAAATCTTCAAAAATGAAAAACATCAAAAATAATGAGAGTTGACTGAAGCCACTGGTGATGAGAACAAATGTTACAATGGAAAAGTAAGCATAGCCTTCTGGCTGAAAACAACTACTTCCCAATAACCTTTCCAAGAAACTTGACTTGCCCGTGCAAAGAAGAAAACAACTTTAAAAGTTTTAAGAGATAAAACAAATAAGAGACCTATGTAAAGAATTCGTATAGTCTGCCCAGTTGTACCAAAATCTTTATGTATGATCTCCTTGTTACTAGGACATATTTATTGAATGTGTGCTTTGGGGGGGGTTATGTCCACTAACAATTATTAAGCAATTGAAAAATTATTTGACTTTCAGTTCCTGAGTAAAACCGGTACAAAATAGGATGACATCTCACCAAGTATTTACTTCTATTTCCACAGTTGTTTTTGCCATTTTTCTGGTGTTAAAATCATTCCCTTTAAAATTAACTTTAAAAAATTATATCTGAGAGTGATTTAAAATAGCTGGCTTTCTTATCTCATTTTCTTAGAACTGTAAAAATGAGTTTTACTTCACATTTTTAGTTTGTTTTGGAAATACTCTGTAAATAAGGGTGTTTGGGGATTTAACAGTTCAAGCCTTGGTGAGTCACAGTGATTTTGCCATAACTTTCTCCCGAGTTTCCTAACAACCAGAGTCCATGACTGCAATATAAGCAAAGTGCTGATAATATACTTATCATTTTATGTGGTGTATATTAGATAACCCTGTAGGTTAATGTTTATTAGGATTGTAGGAAAACCATTTTATTTATGTATTATTATGTATTAAGTATATAAAGGTAATATTATTTTGCATCCAACAAAATGCAGAGACAGAGAAGTTAACTTCTCATTGAAGTTATATTGGAAGTTAATGTCAGGACTTGGTTTCATTCATAGGTTATACTCTTTACAAAAGTTACTAGTTCATCTTCTATCTCATCATTATTTTATGTACAGAAATTATTCATTGGTTTGGTACCAAAGAATTTCTGATGACAACAAATGATGAATCAATTTTTCAACAGAAAAAGGAAATTACAGTTAGAGATCTTTTACGCAATGTTTTACACAAGGGGTACACCATGAGGTATCCCTTGACCATGTGTGGGCAATGATGGACCACAAATACAGTGGTGGTTCCATAAGTTTCTAATGGAGCTGAAAACTTCCATTGCCTAGGGATGTCATAGCCACCATAACATTGTTGCACAAAGGCTGCAAAAATCAACAAGTCCGTGGATGAGATGGCACACAGCCTTAACCTGAGTGTGGATAAGGATGACTTTGAGATGCTCTTAGAGGTTGTTCCTTAGCAGTTGATTTACAAGTTATTGTAACTAGTTGAAGACTAGGCAAGAGAAAAGGAAAACAAGGCAGAAGAAGAAGAACCCCTGAGGAAACTGAGTGGAGCATTTAGCAAAAGCTTTTTCACACCTCCAAAAATTCCTCAAAATGTTTGAAAATGTTGACCCCTTGATACCAAAAGATAATCACAATACATTAACTATTTAGAAGCAAATCTGTAATGAAAAACACAAATGAGCCAAGCAAACCATCATGGCCATAGTTCTGAAAAGAGTGGCACCTCCTCAAGGAGAGCCTCGGGCAGGTCCTTCACGGGGTGTTCCAGAAGGCGCTGCTCTCACGGAGATGGCAGCTCTATGTGTGGGATGAGGGTGGTGTTGATGAGCCTCACCCTGTCCAGGTCTGGGCTAACGTGTGTGTTTGTACCTTCATTTGTAACAAAAAAAGTTTTAGAATTAGAAAAAAGGCTTATAGAATAAGACTATAAAGAAAAAAATATTTTTGTACAGCAGTAAAATATGCCTGTGCATTAAGCTAAATGTTATTACAAAAGAATTGAAGAGTTCAAAAATTAAAAGCCACATGTAGTAAAAAAAGTTACAGTCAGCTAAGGTTAATTTATTACTGAAGAAAGAAAAATCCGTTTTATAAATTTAGTGTAGACTAGGTGTACAGTGTTTATAAAGTCTACAGTAGCAGACAGTAGTGTCCTGGGCCTTCGAGTTCACTCCTCACTCCCTGACTCACCCAGAGCAACTTGTAGTGCTGTAAGCTCCATTCATGGTGAATGCCCTATACAGGTGTACCATTTCTGGTTTTATATTGTATTTTACTGTACTTTTCTATGTTTGGGATATGTTTAAGTATATAAATACTTACCACTGTGTTACAGCTGTCTACAGTATTCAGCACAGTAACATGCTGTACAGGTTCACAACACTGTACCACAGAGCCAAAGCGTGTAGCAGGCCATACCATCCAGGGTTGTGTGAGTGTCTCTGATGTTCCCAGTGATGAGATTTCCTGATGAGGCATTTCTCAGAACGTAACTCCACTGTTAAGTGACACATAACTTCTCCGATTTGGATTACTGTCCCTTATCTTTTTTCCTTTTTAAGTGAAAGGAGTTCTGATTTACAATATCTGAAAGCTTGTTTATTAATTTGATGTGGTAATAGTATTAATTATGTACAATTTCTGAAAATTTCTGGGATGGCTTCTGAGAACAACACTGTGGTTGTTTCGGCCTCTAAGAGCAAGATCTCTTCACGTGATGCCCCACATGTGGTCATTGCAGCACACAGGGAGGCCTTTCTCAACCCAACAATTTTGGCCAGCTCGTGTTATTTTTCAAATAATAATGGATACTTAGTTGTGATTTTTCTTGGTATATGAGAACAATTAAATGTGTACACTTAGTAAGTACAATTCTTTGATTAGAAAAATCAGGATACTCTCCCTCTTAGTTTGGTTTTACATCATGGAGGGCTTTCCAGTGGAAATCATACAAAACATTTCTAATTTAATATAAATTTTGCTGTGTGCTGGGCTTTCAGTTCTTTGATATTGAAAAGTGTAATAAACTTTATGCTCATTGATGGAAGATTTGGGGAGGTTGAAAATAAATTTTCTCATTTTAATTCATGTGTGTGTGTGTGTGTGTTCTCTGTCATGTTTAGCTGTGACACAACTATCATTTTATAACAAGTAAGTTACAATGTTCCTTAACTAAAAACAAAATCAATTCTTCACTACTAGGAAGGAAGCTGCCTATTTTAAAGAAGGCAGAAAGAGAGACATCCTCTCCACCCCTACCCATCCCAAACCAGAGGCCGATAGTGTTGAACACAATGACCAAATTTCACAGCATGGTCAGGCTGCGTAGGAAGCTGCCAAGGCTGCGAGTTGTTAATGCCTTACCAGTCAAGCAGTCAAGGGAAAGGGATGGACGTGGAGTGAGAAATGGAATAAAGGAAAACATTCTTGAGATGTGTTGTTTATATAACTTTAACTTTTTTTTAAAATGTCTGTTTTAAGATCAAAGTCAACATTAGTGAAATTTCTAGATGCTTGTCAAAAATATTAAAGTATAAATTATTTCTAAAAGGAAAAAGCTATGTATTTTTCATTGCTTTTATTTTTTTATTATATTGAATTTTTTTCCATTGCCATTTAAAACTTGTGGCAAGGAAGAGTCAGAATAGGGATCCAAGCATATCTCAGTAGACTACAGTACAAAACTGAACCTAATAGAATTAAAGCATTCTCTCTGTTTCACCATCAAAACATTCCCACCGTTTTACCACATCTTATTGCTTCCACTTCTCCCACTGTGCACTGAGCTTTCATCATCTCTTCTTGGATTACTGTTCTCACCATGAAACCGTGCTCCATTCCTGCTCTTGCTACGAATCAATCTATTCCTATTGCAGCAGTCAGAATGATCTCATTAAAACATATTGTATTATTCAACACTACAGTTGTTTTCTACCTCAATTAGAGTAAGAGCCAAAATTCCTAAAATGATCTATCAAACTCAACATAATTTACTCCTGCCATCTCTCTGGCCTCTCCTCCTTCCACTCACTATGCATGAGCCATGCTGCCCGCCCCCCCCCCCCCCCCATTGCTCACACACATGGCAGCACATTTGCTTTCTCCTGACCCAGAAATGTTTTTGCTCATATATCCACCAGGTCCCTCCCTCACTTCCTTCCGACCACACTACCACAAACTGTACCCTCCACCTGACCTGGTTCTTCCTTTCTCCATTCCCATCTTATTTTTTCTCCCTAATTATTGATGATATCTATCATACTGTGTATCTACTTAAATCTTTGAGGGTGGCACTAATGTCTGCCAATATACCTGAGATATGATCATTATTTTATGTGTACTACATAGGCCAGAAGTAAGTGAAGATAATTTCAACTTGGCCATTTCACTGTAATAGCTCTTTCTCTACTGACCAATGAATCATTTCTATGGTTCTGAGAGATGGTGCATATGTCTATTTTGATTATAACTTAAGAAATGTGCAAATGGCTACTGGTAGGGTCTCTGAAACCAGTGGACTCAGTGGGAGGTGAGGGTGGCTCAAAAGACTCTACTTATATTTGACCTATGCTAAGAGGAAATGCACTATTTATGAAAGGGTAAATCTAAGGACTCCATGTACTCTGTCACAATTGTTTGGTGTATATTCTATCATTAATGTACTGGAGCTATACTAAAGAATGAGAGCTAGATACGCACCCCTTTAGGTGACAAGCAATGTACTTGAGCCAAGAGGTCCTAACCCCTGTGGCTTCCTTATGCTGATGTGATTCACACTCTTAACATCTTCTGGTTGTTGCTTGAGAACAGTGCAGTGGTTGGGTATGTAAGACACCAGACAGTGCCTGGTGTCTGAAGGCTCCAGCAATTTCTTGCTCTGCACAGTGCTTGCTATCTCTCTTCTACCCCTTATTAAAGCTGAGGCACAACAGTAGAGGAAGTGAATGAGGTGGTAGATTTTAAGTTACCACCCAGAATGCAAAGGAAGATAAGACAATGTAAAATATAAAAGGGATGTTAAAACACATTGAAATGAATTTAAGAAGACATAATATTCATTTAATTAGAATTAGAGGGGGAGAAATTGAGAATGGTGCAAGGCTGAGGTGAGGCAATATTCAAAGATGTTACCTAAGAAGTTTTTAGAATTGATTAATAATATTAATGCTCAGATTTAGAAAAGATAGCATGGCTTAAAAGGTTTTTCTAAAAGTAATTTTTCAGCACATCATATAATAGTGAAATTCGAGAAGAAGGGTACAAAGATAAGACTGAAGCATCAAATGGGCAAACAGCAGACAGCCAGGGTGCTGAAGAAAAATCTCTCAAGAACCATGATCCAAATTAAATAATTTTAAAGACCTTTAAGATGAACAAAAACAGGTAGGATGTGCAATCAGTTGAATTCTCAGTACAAAGAATACAAAAAGGATGTATTCTATGAAAAATCCAGAAATAAAGACCTGTGAATCAACAAGAAATGTTGAAAGAGTTCACAGAATGGATGGAGATATTTGCCATATATACATGTATCTGGAATACATGAATAACTCCTACAAATCATTAAGTAAAATATAGACCACCTAATTTTAAGAAAGCATGAAGGATTTAAGCAGGCATTTCATATACAAGGATAGTCAAATGGATGATGAGCATATGTAAATGTGCTCAAAATCACAGCAATCTTTAGAAAAATGCAAATTAAAGCTACAATGACATATACCATTACAAATCCACCAGATGGCTAAAAAAATTTTTTAAGTGACAAGAACAAGTTTTGAAGAAAGTGTGGGGCAATCAGAACTCATGCATATTTCTAGTTGAAATTTAAATGTAATACATCTATTGTCAAAAACTATGTTATCTACTAAAGCTAAATTTGAGTATGCACCTTCCCTGTGACACAGAATCTCCACTCTTATGTGTAAATCCAACAACACTGAGTGTCTTCGCTGACCAATAAAACATATACAAAGATGTCTGTAGTACACTTGTTCGAGTAGCTCCAGACGGTAAGCATCCGTGCCCATGAGCTGCACAATAGACAAGTAAGTTGTAGAAAACAACAAAGCATCATGCGGGCAATGACACATGCAGCAATATGAATATGTTTTATAATGATAATTTTGAAGGAAAGGAGCAGACACAAAAATAGTACAGGCTGTATGATTGCATTGATGTTAATTTAAGAACATGCAACACTACTTAGTAGAAGAAAGTATACTGTTTGCATTTGAGTTGATAGTGACTGGACAGGGTACAATGAAGCTTTCTAGGGTGCTGGCAACGTTCTATGTCGTAATCTGTGTTCTGACTATATGGAGATACACATAAATATAAAAGCATCGGGCTTCACATTTAAAAATTGTGCACTTGATAGCCCTGGCTGGTGTAGCTCAGTGGATTGAGTGCAGGCCTCCGAACCAGACAATCGCAGTTCAATTCCCAGTCAGGGCACATGCATGTGCCCTGCAGGCCAGTTCCCAGCAGGGGATTCACAAAAGGCAACCATACATTGATGTTTCTCTCCTTCTCTACTTCCCTTCCCCTCTAAAGATAAATAAATAAAATCTTTTATAAAAAAAGAATTTTGCACTTGATGTATATGATAAAGGAAGGAAATGATGGGTAAGTACAAATTTCAGAATAGTACTGATCCCTGGGGTCAAGTCAGAGGAGAGATTGGAATGAGAGCCTAAGGGCTTTTAGGTACATTAAAAACCTTTCTTTCTTTCTTTCTTTCTTTCTTTCTTTCTTTCTTTCTTTCTTTCTTTCTTTCTTTCTTTCTTTCTTTCTTTCTTTCTTTTTTTCTTTCTTTCTTCCTTCCTCTCTTCTTTCCTTCCTTATTATGTACCTTTATTATTTTTTAATTTTTACTTATTTTTAGAGAGAGGGGAAGGGAGGGAGAAAGAGTAGGAGAGAAACATCAATGTGTGGTTTCCTCTCATGTGTACCCAACCAGGAACCTGACCAGCAATCCAGGCTTGTGGCCTGACTGGAAATCAAACCTGCGACCTTTTGGTTCACAGGCCAACACTCAATCCACTGAGCCACACCAGCCAAGGCATGTGCCTTTATTTCCTAATTTTTATAATATTTTATTGTTTGTGCTATTACAATTGTCCCACTTTTTCCCCTTTTGCTGCCCTTTTATTCAGCCCACCCTCCAATTCCATGGATCCTTCATAAGTGTTCATTGACTAATCCCTTAACCTTCTTTCAATCACTGCCCATCTCAACCTCCCCTCTTACAGCTGTCAGTCTATTCCATGAACCTGTCCTCTGGTTCTATTTTGCTCATTAGTTTATTCTGTTATTTAGATGTCTCTTATAAGTGAGGTCATATGGTATTTGTCTTTCAGCAACTGGAATATTTCACGTAGCATGATAGTCTCCAGTTCCATCCGTGCTGTCACAAAAGTTAGGAATTCCTTCATTCTTTCTGTTGTGTAGTATTCCATGGTGTAAATATACCAGCTTTTTCTTTTTCAATCCACTCATCTACTGATGGACACTTAGGCTGTTTTCAAAGCTTAGCTGTGGTAAAAAAAAAAAAAAAGTGTTGCTATAAACATGGGGGCACATAAATTCTTTTGAATTAATGTCTCAGGATTATTTGGGTATATTCAAACCCCAGCAGTGGGATTGCTGGGTTAGAAAGCAGTTCCATTCTTAGTTTTCTATTTGTTTGTTTGGCTTTAACTTTTTTATTGTTGTTTAAGTATAATTGTCTCCATTTTCCTTCTAATTAGTTCCATTTTTAGTTTCCTTGAGAAAATTTCACACTGTTTTCCACAGTGGCTGCACCATTCCCAACTACATCCCCAACTACAGCATTCCCAACTACAGTGCACTAGGGTTCTCCCTTTTTCCACCTCCTCTCCAGCACTTTTTGTTTGTTGATTTATTGATGATAGCCATGCTGACAGGTGTGAGACGATAGTTCATTGTGGTTTTAATTTGCATAAGAATGTTTATTTCTTATGGTTGTAGGTAAGTATGTAGATGATTTATTTTTATTTTATTTTCTGCCTCAGAATTATGCTTAATAAATAACAAAGTATATGCAAACATTTGTAGATTTAAAGAGAAACAAGCAGAGGTCCTATTCATGCTGTCCCAGCAATAAAAACAAATAAGCATTGGCATGTATTGTTTGTATATAAATTGTTGAGTGTAACAATTTAACGGTAGAGATCACTTGCAATCTTCAAAAAATGTCCTGTTATTTCTCACTCTGTGCTTTAAATTAAATGTAGACTGGACTTGCTTATAAATTCGAAGCAACTGCTCTTTTCCATTTATTATCAGCGACTTTAAGTCTCCATCTTCTACTTCCACCCCTTTTTGGCCATT